TTTTTTTTTTTTTTTTAAACGTCAAACTCAGGGAGAATCATTAGCTACTGCTCATTCCTAAGACTGAGGAAGGCCCTCTGATGGACGAACTTTCTGTCCCTACAGAACCAAGATCTCTTCTCTGATCATTTTTTTAATACATAAAGTTCAGTTGATGTCATTGCTACTGGGTTCTGCGCCACATGCCTAGTATGATTCCTGATATCAGCCTGGGAGCGAGGAGTTAACTTAACCTGGGGTATATATTCTAACAGAAGTTAAATTTAGAAGCACGTGCACATACTATCAGTGAGAAACAGGTAACAGAAACAGGCCCAGTACTGAACTCCTCCCTTGCATTTGCCGCCCCGTTAGACATGCACTCTTCCCTCGGACACTGCCCACCCTGCTTGACCACGTCTCATTAGTAATATAAATACCCGGGGACAGCGCCCCGGCGGGACCTGCTCGCCGGGCTCCCCGCGAGGGGCGGAGGAAGGATGCGCAGAGCGCGCGGCCCGTCGGGGGCCTGGGCATCTGCGGGGAGCCCGGCCTCCCGCACACACGGCGTGTCCGGGGCCTGGGCATCTGCGGGAGCCCCAGCCTCCCACCCACATGACCCGTCCACGGCCTGGGCATCTGCGGGGAGCCCGGCCTCCCGCACACACGGCGTGTCCAGGGCCTGGGCATCTGCGGGAGCCCCAGCCTCCCACCCACACGACCCGTCCAGGGCCTGGGCATCTGCGGGAGCCCCGGCCTCCCGCCCACACGGCCCGCCCACGGCCTGGGCATCTGCGGGGAGCCCGGCCTCCCGCACACACGGCGTGTCCAGGGCCTGGGCATCTGCGGGAGCCCCAGCCTCCCACCCACACGACCCGTCCAGGGCCTGGGCATCTGCGGGAGCCCCGGCCTCCCGCCCACACGGCCCGCCCACGGCCTGGGCATCTGCGGGGAGCCCGGCCTCCCGCACACACGGCGTGTCCAGGGCCTGGGCATCTGCGGGAGCCCCAGCCTCCCACCCACACGACCCGTCCAGGGCCTGGGCATCTGCGGGAGCCCCGGCCTCCCGCCCACACGGCCCGCCCACGGCCTGGGCATCTGCGGGGAGCCCGGCCTCCCGCACACACGGCGTGTCCAGGGCCTGGGCATCTGCGGGAGCCCCAGCCTCCCACCCACACGACCCGTCCA